GACTTTTGAAAGTCTATAAGATTTCATGCGGAAGGTTGGTCCAGGGGGCTAGCATATATATATATATATGTACACATATGTCAAGGTGTTAGGATACACACGTGTACCTGAGAACGCCTCTTCACTTACCTACCTAGCTAGCTAGCTAGCTAGCTAGCTAGCTAGCTAGCTAGCTACCTACCTACCTACCTACCTACCTACCTACCTACCTACCTATGCATATACATATATACATATACACATATATACCTATGTACATACCTCTACATGTACTAGACATATAACATATACATACATAAATACACACATACATACGTACATACATTCATACATACATACATTTATTTCTATATATTAAATAGAAACAGGTATTATAAATATATATATATATATATGCACACAAAGACGTGCTTGTAGTGTATGTATGCATATAAAAATACATGCATACATGAACAGTAGTGGTATAGTGCGGAGTAGCTCACATGACTGCAGCAACAGAACCCTTGGACTTGGGTGTGCCTCACCAGACAGCCGAGCACGTCGCGGCCCCCGTCGCCAGCGCTGGTAGCAATGCCTCCTTTGTTCGGGTACATTATAACCATCCTCACTGCGCTTGCCTGGCTCTCTTGCTGTGCTCGGGACCCCGAAGGGGCGCAACTGCTTTGAATGAGCCAAACGAGTTTATGCTTGCGGCAACACAGAGACGAGCCAGACCAAACAGCCACACAAATACGGGTAGAGCTCCACAACTTCCACTGGCACTGTGTGACGATGTCCAAGCGTCGTTCCACAGGCCGTGCCAATCAACACCTGGTGCGGTCCCATGTAAGCATGGCGGCCAGAGCACATTGCTAATTGCCAAGTTCAGGCAGATTGGTGCATGGTGGCGGACGTAGTGGCAGTGGGAGAGTAGTAGTGGTGGTAGTGGTGGTTGTGATTGTCGTTGATTCCTCTTCCTCGTGTTGTCATAGTACTAGTAGTAGTAGTAGTAGTAATAGTAGTAGTAGTAGTAGTAGTAGTAGTAGTAGTGACCCAAATTCGAAACGGACTCCCCAGTGGAGTCAGAGGAACCCGGTGATATGAGTAGAATTGCATTGAGCATTTTCGCCTCAGCAGTCCTAGTAGCCGTGGTAAGTGTGCCAGCCCCTGTTTTCGGCTCTACAAGTTCAGCATTGAGATTCTGTTGGCGCCCATGTTCCGCACCTCAGCCACAAATCGGAGAGCTGGAGGACAAGCATGAGTGTGACACAACGTTTGCAGCCACCAAGTAAATGCTCCTTGCCTGTCACGTGATTGCTGGGCCCCGAGCCACAAGGGACGACAGGATCAGCAGCCTTGGATAAGACTGCTTTGTCTTCCCCCCGTAAACACACGCCCACACACGTAAAGTTGTGGAAGACACACACGTAAAGTTGCGGGAGAGGGAGCCTTTGGAACGAAAACCTCCTCGATCCCTGCTGGGAATCTACTGCGATTCATCTTGCTACTTAAACCGAATAGATCGAACTGACAAGGCAGGCTCGTCCAAGTCCATACTTGGAGATGTCGGCAGCATAGGTTATACCCCAAGACTTCGAATCTTCAGTTGCCGAAATGTGCTTGTTTGTGCACCAATTCAAGATTTGTTTCAACACTAGCAGTGCAAGCAGAAGGCTGAAGTATGTCGACAGGACAGCATGAGTCACAAAGGAATCTTCATGCGCGCGCTCGGTTAAGACTTAGCCTCATGAAGATCCTTCCCATTCTTCCAGTCCTGTCTTGTCAGGTCGCAGATACATGTCAGCCTTTTGTGCCGCTCGGTGCTCTTCGATGATGTTGAAATCCTGGGTCTTGCATTCGGATTCCCTATGCAAAAAGACAGGGAGCACCAAAAACAGAAAACATCCCAAATTCGCGCCTAGACTCGTTACAGCAACAGCCCACGCGAGATTGGTGTGGGTGGCAACGTGCATTGTAGCTGAGACCTGCAAGCACAAAAATACCAATATCTGGTATTGCACTTTTACATGTGACATCTTCCATCCAAAGTCCATAGTGTAGTTTATTGCAGATTGAATGAAGAACCACACTCTTGCCTCTGTCTTGACAGTGTAGCTTCTTGGGTGCTTCGCACTTCAACAATGCGTCGCTTGTGACGTGTTTCGTCATATGTTGCTGTCGATTACCGCATGTGTGTTTGTATCAAGTACGGCTGTCCATCACTTGCTCTAAGATTTTGGAGCACAGCTGTGAAGGTTGTACTACATGATGACATGACTGCCAATAAGAAGAAGCTGGCATCGAAATCGCTGGCATAATTCCCGGGCTCAATCAGAGCAACACTGCCACGGCCGCGATCCGTGACCGAACCCCAAGCCGTGCGCCCGAGCAGAAAGAGACGAGATACTGCTGAAAGCCGAAGTCTCGGATCCTAGTTAACGGACAGTATGTTGGCAAACTCAAAATACGCGGCCTTGCTCGATGCAACCTGAGCTTGCGTGAGCCTACGACTGGAGTCGAACAGCACAACCGGTCTGTGGCGCCTGTGTCCATCTCCGCCCATGTCCTCGCGGAGACCTGGTGAGAAGCAACCATGTAACTGGAAGCTGCAAAAAATTAGGTTGAGGGCACGGACAGTACCTTAGCAGTGAGAGAACAAACGGACCAAGCACGACGACCTTGAGGACCTTTGTCCGCTTGCTGCGATGTAGGTAGGAATGTGAGTCAAGCACCATGTCTTTCTTCTTGAAGCTGGGCCGCGTCTGCTGGGCAGTCGGGCCAGCAGTCCTGAGGCAAACTGCAAAGCGACACGCGAAATGCAGAACAAACTCAAGGCTCAGAGAGTAGTGGCGTGGTATGATCCTGTCCTGGACATCGTTGACCATTCCGAGACTCATCCGCTGAGGTTCATAGCTTCGGATGGAGCGCAGCAAGTCCTCGCCCCCCCCCATAGACAGAAACAGCGCCGGCTACACCGCGACGTGTCATGTGCCTTTGCGACATCGACGACCAAAATCGCTGTCTTTGTGTGCTTTGTGTGCGTGTCTCTGTTAGCTTACGTTGCGCATGTAAATGTTTTTTTACGTAGTTATAGTTGTGGACGCTTTGTTGTCGCATGCCGTCGTCTGTAATGCACACATGCACACATCCATACAAACCTCGGCCTCTCACACTCTCACTTACTTGAGGGCAGATGAAGGACTGCTTGCTCTGTTGCATGAACCCAGCCCAAAAAGTGTAAGCAGAAAGCCGTGAAATTTCATGGAAAGGAAGCTGATACACTTGTTAGTTGACACAATCCTTCCTTCACACACCTCGGTACGCTCACATCTGTGTAGACAAACCCGAAGATTGCATGCAATGGTGGCAACGGCTCCAAGCCCGCTACACTGGTGAAGCCTTGTTGGTCTCTGAGGTGCCCAGGCAGTCCACGAGCCAGGCTTCGCAGCGGAAGACCGTCTGGCGAGCAACCGCACTGGCGTCTTGCGAAGGATAACTTGGCCTAATGGCCTCGTTTTCCAGACCGGCCCCGCCTCCAAGCATTGCGGGTCCAGTTGCTGGATCACGTCTGGCGCTTGGACACAAAGAAATCGCTGGCCGAGGATCGCAGCCTGGCGAATCCAAAGGCCGCCCTAGGGAGCCCTTCAGCGGAGATTCAAGGCCAATGTCAGCGCGAGGAGTTGAAGCTAAGGCTGAAGGAATCCTTCGGTTCTCAGTGTGTTCATTTGCAAGTAGTCCTTGCAACTGCTTGAGCAACGGAGATCGCAGAGGGTACCGAGAAGCCCTCGTCCGATGGACCTGCCTTTGTTGGAGCTTGCTTGCATACATGCATGTACCTGTGCAGCTGTATCTCTATATGTGCTTCTGTAACTTGTACATACACAAACAAACGAACAAACAAACAAACATACATACATACATACACACATGCATACAAACATGCATACATGCATGCATGCATACATACATACATACATGCATACACATACAAACATACGAACAAACAAACAACTACTTACGTATGTACATGCCTACCTGCCTACATACACACGTACATACATGCATCCATGCATGCCTGCCTGCATACAGACAAAGAGACAGACAGACAGACAGACAGAAACACTGACAGGCAGACAGACAGACAGACAGACAGACAGACAGACAGACAGACAGACAGACAGACAGACAGGCCCAAGCAGCTATTCGAACCCATAAAAAGAAACGGAACGACATGAAACCAGTCTCAGATCAAGCATGAGTCGGGACACCGGCAGCCACTACGAGGGCGTTTAATCAGAATCGTCTTGAAAGCTTAGAGGTCCCGAACGGGCCGGAAAGCCACAAGCCCGGGATGCCTGCGTCAGGTTCACGGGGAACGAAGCCTCCGCGCAGAATCCCAGGCCACGCCGAAGGATGACAAGGTGGCGGAATTGACCTACAGCCCAGCACGAACGGAGGCTATGAATGGTACCAGGTCGCTCAACTAAACGTGAAAACAACCTTCATCCCAGAAGTGAGAGATAAAGAGAGAAGGAGAGAGAAAAAGAGACAGAGAGAGAGAGAGAGAGCGTGTGTGTGTGTGTGTGTGTGTAAGGGTATGAATATATGCACAAAAATATACGCACATACATATCTGTGTGTATCCTTGTGTGTGTGCCTGTAAGCATACGTACAAATACATACGCACATGTTCCTCTGTATACATTTATTTGTTTGGAAGAATTTTAGTTTTGCACCCATACATCTCTGCAACGGATGTGGGCAGATAGATAGATGTAGCTTTGCATCTGTATATATACACATATATATATATATATACATATGTGTGTGTGTATGTATGTATGTATGTATGTATGTATGTATGTATGTATGTATGTATGTATGTATGTATGTGTGTGTGTGTATGTATGTATGTGTGTGTGTATATGTATGTGTGTACGTACGTACGTAGGTAGGTA